GCAGACCTCTCTTGTCTGTCTTGCACTGGTGCCTCTCACCTGCAGTACAGATGTAGTCACACAGCCCTGCATCAATACACTGGGCCAGATAGAGAGACCCCAAAATGAGGACCTCCCAGTGCCCCAGTGCTGTGTTTCTCCTCACCACACATGCGCCTTAATCTCCTCCAGCCTCTACTCAGACATGCCATATCTTTGGGCTGTGGAAAACACTGTCACCCAGTAATCTGCCCCTTTTCCTGCTGTCTCCATATCACTGGTGTGATCAGTCCTATCTGTGCATGGAGGAGGGGCTGGCTGACCAAATTTCTTTAATTAAAAGAAAAAGGATCAGGTTTATTTCAGATAAGCAGGCAGGATTAAAATAGACAGAAAGAATAGACAAGGGGCAGCTGTCAGCACTCCAGCTGATCCAGTGTGATTATTAATAATGATAAGCAGGAGAAGAGGGCTAATAAAAGGATAATGAAGTGGTCCTGAAAGTGACAGGAGATGGAGCCTGATAAGAGGGCCCATGGCCCGGAGCTGTTCTGGCCCCAGTGAGGTCTGTGCAGAGTAGCCTGCTGGGACAGACTCATGCAGTGGGGCATTAGGAGGAAAGATTTCAACTCCCTAGGGGCCATAGCAGAGAGATTAATGGGCTCAGGAGCTCTGGACATCCATGTCATGCAGCATTCATGACTGAATCAATCAGGATGCTTCCCAGGCTGTAACTGCAAGGAGTACAGGTCAGCCCTGTGGATAAAGCATGGCTCTGGGAGGACTGGTCTCACCAGGGCAGCCAATTGTGGATCCCTCATGAGTGTTGTGCCTTGGCCTTCACTCAGCACTGCACCATCCTGGCACAGCCCAGGACTGGGGTGACACATTTCAAAAGGGAGTGCAAGTGGCAAAAGCTACTGAGGTGTGGGGGCAGTTGCTAGGAGAGGACAGAAGCAGTATGGGGCATCTTGGCCCTGTCTAGGGACTACCCACTGCTCTGGTTTCTCCTAGTTCTGTCAGCTCTCCATGTCAGAGAAGTGTGCCATGGCTCAGACAGCTGTCAAAAAGCGATGGAAGGACGTGACTGCAGACAGAGTAGCCTGTGGAAGGTTGGCTCTGGGTGCCCTTTCCCAAGGTAAAGATCACGTGCAGATCATTAAGCACAGGCACAGACTGCTGCAGTCTGGAAACAATACAGTGTATCCACCTGTACTAGCTGGATGCAGCTCTTGGCCATGGTCTGGGTCAGTCAAGGGGAAATAAGGTGTGGGAAGTTATTTCCCAGGAGCCGTTAAGCAGAGAATGAAATCCCACCTAATAGCAAATACAACCTCCGTCCTCTCTGTCGAGGAAAGGATCAAACCATCTGTAGACATGCAGTGGGACAGAAGGAAGAGGGAGACAGAGGAGTCAGAACCTCACAGCAAGCCACAGAACAAGTCAGATGGCTGGAGAAGGGACGACTCGGTCAGGGAATGCTGTGGGAGGAATTAAGGTTGTTTGGGACAAACTGGATTAGTTTCCACTCAAATTGGTCTCTTTTCTATCCAAACATCCCCTTCTCCCTCCCAAGTCCAGAGCAGGTCTCCTTCTTCAAAGGGAAAACTGGTCTGGCCTGGGCTATGACATGCCACCCAGGCCAGCAGGCAGGCGGGCGGCTGGGTGCGTGTTCCGCTGGAGCGACCGCGCCACCCCCACGCTCAGTCATGGGCAGCAGCCAGCAAGGCCCAAGAGAGGAGCTGGGAATAAGGCTCTGGCTCGTGCTGCTTGGCGCTGTGCTCCCGCCACTCCGGGTCACCACGGCAGATGCTGGGAGCATATGCCATGAATTAATTCCACTTTCCCTGAGATGCTCCGGAGAGAGGAACGGCAGTGCCTTTCCAACTTATTAACATAGGAGCTCCCCCCCACTTTCCATCACTTTGTCACACTTAATGAAACAGCCAACCAGAGTCCCTTTAAGAGATTCTTTAAAGGAAAGTTGCTGGGTCTGGCTTTTTTTCAGCTTCTACTTCCTATATTTTTTTCCCAGTGCTGCATAGGCTGTGTCAGCCCCAATATTTCCCCATCACCGACAAACTGCACTTTAGTAAGGCATCTCCTCCAAGACAGTCTATAAATAGCATATGTATTATTACAAGCAGAAACAGATAGTCCTAAAACTGGTAGGACCCAGAATTAATTTTTCCTTTATGCACTTCTTTTACTTTATCTGTGATGAGGCTCACCATTTGCCCAGTATTGCTCTCTTGAGCTCTGAGTCTGCAAGAGGCTATCTGCAGGTAGGTATTTACAACCATCCAGAATCCCAGCAAGTGACCCCAGATCAGGCCAACATATCATGCTGTTGACACACACACTTTGACAGGTTTGCAGCTATTTCTCCACAGTGTATGAACAGAGCAGTACAAGAAGTAAGCAGGACATAAGGTTTTCTGCACTGAATTGCCATCTTTGAATTGAAGATGGAACACACTCACCAGGTATATGAAAGCCATGATTGAATTGAGAACTCAAGGTTTCTCATTTCTAACCCTGATTCTATCAAAGATTTGTGGTGTGGCCCTAGGCCTAGGCACGTTGCTTTACCCCCTGTGATACAGGTCTATGGAGACCAACAAGGGATTACTGCTCTATGCCTTGGCTAGGCACAGTCCCAAGGGCTGACCTGAGTTCCTAGAAACTGAGTGCACTGTTCAGAAAACTGTTCTCACTTCTCACCTCACCCGCGGCTCAACCAGAGCTACACCTTTGCAGGCTACAAGCAAGTTACACCTGCCATTACCTTCTTTGCATCCTCTTTCCACGGGGCTTGTCAAAAATGCAGGTTCCTGAGGCAGCTTTGTTACAGCCAATACACACTCGTGCATCACCACTGGGCTGGCCTGGGCATACAAAAGCAGCTCATCATTTCTTTTTGACATGGACAGTAACAGGCACTAGTTCTCTTCTGACAGCATCAGGACTTGAGAAAGGAGAAACAGCAGATCTCAGTCATCTTCCCAGCACTGCAACCAAAACACAACTGTGGAAGGAAGGTGGGTGGGAAGAGCTTGCTGGAGGAAGGCCAGGAGCCAGACACCCACCTCCCCTCCTCCAGCTGGGGAAGGAATTGAAAAGACATGGAAACAAGTCTCAGTCTATTAAGTTTATTGAAGGAAATTAAAGAGACAACTTGATCACAGTGCACATAAATACTGAAGCAAGGAGAAAATATCTGACAGCACAGCTTAATTGGAAAGGTGAAAGCAAACAGGCTCAGGGAACAGAAGAAGAAACTCAGAAGCTGAGTCTAGAAATAAAGCAGATTTTAAACCATAAAGGCAATTATCATTAAAAAACTAACCAGGGAAGAGTTTCTAATATACTGTCTGCCTTTCTAAAAGACAGGCAAAGCTCAACCACATCTCACCAGACTCTGCCATGGTTTGTATTATAGCAGGTCAAACTAAACAATCAAAGCTACCTATCCCTGCCTTAAAATAGATGAGGCTGTCATTTTTTTTCAAGCCCTGCTCTCAAACTCTGTCCAGGTATTTGCTGAGCTCCCAAGGTCCCAGACTGGGCACAGGCCTGGCCCATACTCACCTGCCCCTCACCCCAGAGTATCCCTGCCTAGGGCCCCAGGCCAGAGGTGGGTTGCCAACAGCACCCTTTTTTTAGCTCTCAGACTGGCTTGCTGAGTTTGTATGATTTACTAAGCTATTTTAGTTTGCTGGATTTAATTCCTTTGTCCTGGAATGTAGGAAGCATTCTAAATTCTCTTTGGCCAAGAACCATAGGTGTCATAGAAAAAGAGATGCTAGCTCAGTTGGGAAGTTTCTGTTCTTACCAAAACAGGTTTCTCGGCTCAGGGAAAGACTTTCAGATTATCCTCCATACACTGGCCTCCCAAGCTTCTAGCTCACCTCATTTTTCTGGTTACATGATCAATTTCTTGCTTGTAAAAAACTTAGTGTCTCCTCAAATCAAGTAAGCCTCCCTTTATTTTTGTGGCCCCAGACTGGGACCCAACTGATTCTCTCTTGTTGGAAAAGTTGTTTGCTGATATCAACTCTGATCTGAAGTTCTGCAGAGTTCTGAATTCACAGTGAGTTACTTGACCTGTCCTCCTGTCAGTACTAAAGTGGGAATGCAGTGTCCTATTAAACCAACCAATGAAGCTAAGAAAAGCAGCACAGCAAGCCTTCCTCCCAGCACCTGCACTGCCCCCCAGAAGTAAACAGCAAGATTCTCCAACAGGACATGGCTTTGAAGGACATTGGCTTGGAAGTAATGTTACTGTTTCCTGCAAATAATGACCATGGTTCTACAGGGACAAGGCATTAACAGCGAAATGGGTTTTTCTTTAGATGACAATAAGAGTGGGTTACTTGGTTACAAGGAGACACCCACCAGGGAATTACCTTGTTTGAGAGCAGCAGGCTCCATTCTTTCACACGTGTGGAATAAACAGTATTTTCTTTGCAAACTACCTATTGCCTGAAGTGATCTCCATTCAGGCTGTGATTTCATGTGATTGCGAAAGGCAAGTGGGGATAAGCCTGGTTAGAATTTAGCTGGGAAACCTCAAGGTAAAAAGAGTTGCTGTAAGAAGTGGTGTTGGCAGTTTAATAGGTGATGTTGCTTCCTGAGTCAATACAGGGGTAATGTTCCAGAAGAGATGTTAAACCAGCAGGGAAAGGCTGGAGGCTGCTGGATGAAATGTGAACCACATATCCTGACAATTTGTGGCATCTGTTGTGATGAAGATGGTAACCTTGACGTCCTAGTATAAGCCTAAGCTTCTCTGATAGCCATCACTGCAAACCACACCCCACTGTAAAACAGTTCACTCCAGAGGGGATGTGTTTCCACAGAGTAAAGATCGACCACTGCAGTTGTCTGTAAAGGTGCTATTGAGGTGGAGTGACTGTTGATAAGTAAATATTTTACTGTGTTTAGAATTTTTAATCTTTTTTTTGAGAACAAATATTCTTATTACAAAACACCCAAAACTTCTCATGAGACAGGTTTTCTATGAAGCAAGGTCCTATTTATTTTCATGTCTGAAATAAATTCTCAAATACAAACAAGTGAATAAAAAAATAAAGTGCTAAACTATTTACAGGAGATGCATATATGAGATGTGTAGTGTGCCAGTGCTCTAGGGCAGACTGAGGTGGTCCTCTCTCTCAGACTGTCCCAGGTCCCACTCAGTCAGTAGTTCTGAGGACACCTCTGTGAAGAGATGGTCCCAATCCCAGCTGACATCATCCTACCAAGAGAAAAAAGGCAAACATGCTGAAACACCCCAAGTTCTCTGAACAATGCTAGATACTCAAGATGAATAGCAAAGAGAGAAACTAAATGGCAACTGCCCTGACCAGGGAAGTCTCAGATTCAGTTGGCTAGAACAGGAATACTAGCCAGAATGAAATGTGAATCCCTGCTACAATTTTAAAATGTTGACAGAATTATTCATGTTCCAAAATTCCATAAAGGACAGATTTTTTTTTATATTCATTAATATAAGATACTCCCAGGCAGGATGTAAAGAAGAGTCATAAAAATCTTTCACCCTTCTGCACTTCTGCTGAAGCATGTGCAGTTCAAAGCTGCAGAAACCCTTTGTTGCAAGTCCTGAGCTCCTGCCCACCCACTTGTATTGAGGTTGTTCTGTCCTGCTTTAAAACCTCTCTGCCCAAACCCCAAATACTTTCTGCCTTTGTCCCTCTGTACTGTTCTATAGAACCACCTGTGGCTCATGGTGGCAACACAGCACTGTTTTTGGTGGGATCTGTGACAGTACTAGGCTCTTCCCATTTTCCTTACTACTTCCTTCATACTGAAGGGGGTCAATCATAATGATGCCATGAACACACTAAGAAAGCACATTACATATCTTTAAAATCATCCGCTGGGGAAATCAAACCTCCAACAGCTTGGACAAGCTCCTCCTCACCTCTCTTCTCCACCCCACCAACAAAAGCTTACAGTCTGAGATGCGTAAGAAGCTTTTACCTTATTCGTGTTTCCACAAAAGAAAGACTCACCTCTCGTAGTTCATGCTCTGGAGCCAAAACTTTGGTGAGAAGCTTCAGGTCTACCTCCCCATCCTAAGAACAAACACAGAGTTACAGTCTTACAGACATTGAGAAAGTGGACACCATCATTTCACCAGGTAGGTATTGCTAGAAATAGGCACATTTGCCTCTTAAGGGTCATATACTTTGTGCAGGACAACAGCAGGAGACTCATCTGAGCAGCTGATACCGTACCCGCACTATTTACTGACACAATCGAGCACAAAAGCCACACTCAGAGAGGAACAGACTTACAGGCAGACTGCAAGTTGTTCAGATGAAAGGCTGTGTGTTTTGTGCAGCTGAGTATCACTGTGGAGGATGATGGGAACCTGGAAGGAGAGGGAGTCACACTGGTCACCCCACAGCAACATTCACTTACCAGAGTCTGAAAGGCAGCATACTTCATTAGATCTTTGTCCAGGTCATGGTAGGTCAGCACTCGGTTCACTTGCACACTGCAACCAGAAAGAGTCAAAGAAAAAGCCTGGGTAAGTGTGGAAGCACATGTGAGAAAGGTGGCACAGACAGTAGTCTGGTGACACCCATCTTGAGCGTCCACATCACCCATGTAGACTCTTGAGATGGATGTACCCAGACAGAAGCACATCTTATTCAGCAAATGAACAGTCATTGACAAATCTGTGTACCAGGTTCTGCACGTGCATGAAAACAGAACATGGAACAACCACGTGCTCCCTCAGTGAAACCGGCACGCCAAAAAGAAGATCCATAGACTATCTGCAAGGGCCAGAAAGAAAAGAGGACTGTAGTGAGCATTTGAACAGCCCCAGTGCCATAGCGAAGGAGGCTCTGAGAACAACACCACACAAGCTATAGAATAGTAGGGAGTTTGTGATTTTCATGCCTGAGCTGAGTCAGAGCTATCAAATATGATTTCTTCAAATGTAGCCTTCCAAGAGAAACATGGTGTATGGAGGTGATATACTGTCGTACCACACTTGCCTTCACAGGTAATGCAATACTGTAGAAAAGACCTATATTAATTGAATTTGCTTGTGTTAGTCCATGAAAATCATTTGTCTCCTCTATCACATGAAAACTATGGATACAGGAGGATCAGATGGCATTATTTTAAAAAAAAAGAAAGAAAACAAAGAAATGAACTCTAGTGAGAGGCAGTAATTTTAAACTTATCCTATAAACTGTGAATTTTGTTAACAGCTATATAATTGCAATAACTACTCCACACTTGCGAGAGAAGCATTGGTGGTTGAGAGTAAGATGTCCCACCCCTCCAAATAAGAGTCAATGGAAATCCCAATCTGTGACCTTGGCAATAGGCCCAACAGGGAAGAGAAGACTTTCCTGATATGTTTAAGACAAAACCCCCAAAACTTTTATTTTTTAAAACTTTCTGGTCTCCCTTGAGCTAACCCCAAGATTACTCTGATATTACCTTCAAACAAAAGGATTGTACTTTGCAAATTAACTATGCACTTGAGTAAGAAGGATATCCTGTGGAGGGCAATGCAGCCTACAACCACACGTAATCAAAGAGTGTGTGGTAATGCATGTGTACTGGAGGTATCTGAGGTTATACAGGCAACCTTAAATCAAGCAATTCCTCACCTTTGAGAGTTTGGTTTTACAACGTCAGACGTTATTCTAATGTAGGTTTTTTAGAGAGAGAGAGAGAATACACAGTAATTGCTTTCTCTATGTAATAAGAAAGAAGTTTGCACTGTTCAGCTTGGAGCCCTGCTGGTAATGCATGTGTACTGGAGGTATCTGAGGTTATACAGGCAACCTTAAATCAAGCAATTCCTCACCTTTGAGAGTTTGGTTTTACAACGTCAGACGTTATTCTAATGTAGGTTTTTTAGAGAGAGAGAGAGAATACACAGTAATTGCTTTCTCTATGTAATAAGAAAGAAGTTTGCACTGTTCAGCTTGGAGCCCTGCTGCCACAAAACCAAATCCTTCTGAATGCCACTGCTGCTGACATCCAGAGAGCATGAGATAAGATGGGTTTAATTTCACTAGCCATTTTGCACTGCTGATGAGAGCCTGAAGAGCACCTGGCAGTTCTCTTACCTGGGGGGAGCTGCCACTTGCATGGCCAGATCTTCCTCCTGGACTTCCTCCAAGTCAGGGATCACAGGAATGTCTGCAACACAAGAAAGCAGCAATAAGTGGGGAGTGCTGTGCTCTCTTCTCATTGAAGACACAGGCTCCCTTGCTTCACAGATATGAAACAGTCTGTTTCTTATTATCAGGAAACACAAAAGAGTTATCCAGCAATAATTAAGAATATATTGTTTAATATTAAAACAAGGCAATAAAACTTTGAAGCTTGGGGTCACAAGAAATCTTGCAAGAGGAGCAGATTAGTCCAGGTAGGACTCCATAGGCCATGGGACACACATTTGAACACACCCTTGAAGCTGAAAGAAGACAGCAGCACTAAACCCTGCTGCTTACTTGCCATCACCAACGGGCAAGAACGTGCTTGTTATGAGATGTGTTATTTGCTCAGCCACCAGTCACCTAGACTCTGTTAGAAATGAAATATGGGGCAGAAACTGAGAGAAGCTGTGTAAAACTATGCATTGAAGGAGCTGCTGGTGGGGCCTCAAACTGCAGAGATCTGTGACCTTCCCAAAGGCTGAGGAAGGAAGTGCTGGTGATCTAGCAGATACAAGCACTGTTGAGGAATACATATGGTCCAGGTGGCTCTGCTTTCAAGCTGCAGATTGAGATGTAGATTGCAATGCTGATTGAGCACTGGGTGGAAGCCTGAGACAAACATGACACACATCTGTAAGAAGGGTCGGAAGGAGGATCAGGGTTAGGCCTAACCTCAGTTCTGGGCAAGGTCATGGAGAAGATCATCCTGAGTGCCATCACATGGCACATGCAGGGCAACCAGGGGATCAAGTCCAACCAACATGGATTTATGAAAGGAAGGTGCTGCTCGATCAACCCGATCTCCTTCTATGTCAATGTGACCCACTTAGTGGATGAAGGGCAGGCTGTGGACATGGTCTATCTGAATTTCAGTAAGGTATTTGACACTGTCTCCCACAGCATACTTCTAGAAAAAATGGCTGCTCATGGCTTGGATGGGTGGACGCTTCGATGGGTAAAAAACTGGCTGGATGGTCAGGCCCAGAGAGCTGTGGGCAATGGAGCTGAATCCAATTGGCAGCAGTCACTAGTGGTGTACCCCAGGGCTCGGTTTTGGGACCAGTCATATTTAACATCTTTATGGATGATCTGGACATAGGGATTGAGTGCACCTTCAATAAATTTGCTGATGCCACTAAGTTGGGTAGGAGTGTCAATCTGTCTGAGGGTAAGAAAGCTCTACAGAAAGACCTGGACTGACTTGATCAGTGGGCTGAGGACAACTGCATGAGGTTCAATAAGGTGAAGTGCTGGGTCCTGCCCTTGGAACACAACACCCCATGCAGCACTGGGGCAAGAGTGGCTGGAGAGTTGTTTGTCAGAAAGGGACTTGGGAGTGCTGGTGGACAGCGGTTCAATACACAACAGTGTGCCCAAGTGGCCAAGAAGACCAATGGCATCTTGGCCTGTGTCAAGAATAGTGTGGCCAGCAGGACTAGGGAAGTGATCATCCCCCTGTACTTGGCGCACTTTGAGTACTGTGTCCAGTTTTGGGCCCCTCATTTAAAAAAAGGACATTGAGGCACTAGAGCAAGTCCATCAAAGGGCAACAAGGCTCATAAAAGGTCTGGAAAACATGTCACATGAGGAACAGCTGAGGGAGTTGGGTTTGTTTAGCCTTGAGAAGAGGCAGCTCAGGGGTGACCTCAGAGTTCAGGGGTGACCTCAGGGCTCTCTACAACTACCTGAAAATGGGTTGTAGAGAGGTAGGGGATGGTCTTCTGCCATATCTGCAGTGAGAGGACTAGAGGGAACAGTCATAAGCTGAGACAGGGGAGATTCAAATTAGATTTAAGGAAAAAAAATTTCCCTGTTAGGGTGGTCAGGCACTGGAATAGGTTGCCCAGGGAGGTGGTGGAGTCGCCATCCCTTGAAGTGTTTAAGAGGCATCTGGATCTGACACTGGAGGATATGGTTTAGTGTTTAGGGGTTACAGCAGAGTGGCAGGCTAATGTTGGACTCAATGATTTTACAAGTCTCCTCCAACTTTGATGACTCTATGATTCTATTCTATGATTCTAACTTGATGACTGAGACTCTGCTAACCTAGGGTCGAACCAGTAAGGAAATCTGGTCATACTGCGGATGAGTGGGGTGTACCGGGAGTCAAGCAGACACCCGTTTCCTTAACAAAACTAGGGAAGATGCATCTAGTTGTACTGTCACAAACTTTTTCATATTTTCCAGTGTGACCCTGGAATGGCTGAAGGTCACAAGGGCCATGGCTACTCCACCTAAAAAGGATGCTAGAAACAAAAGAATTGAGGAGAGGAGGAAGCACTGAACTTACACTGAATCCTGCTAAAGGAGCAAAGCTCTGAGAGTATTGTATGGTTTGTGATTTGACAAAGTACTGAAAAACATTAGAGACAGAGAGAGCAAAAAAGGGAGAGAAGAAGAGAAGGGAAAGTAACTGGAGGCACAAAGCAAGAACAGAGTACACCAACACAGAGCTCCTTTAAAGACTCAAGGCTACAAAGGCTCGCTGGAGACCCTGAGCCCTGACAGACCATGGAGAGGCTTGTGGTTTGGCTCAGGGAACAGGTTTCACTTGCCCGGTGTGCAGGCAGAGCCCCCTCAGCACTGGAGCAAGCAGGCTGCTCCCAGCTCTGCCCGCAGCGTGGCCACACTACTGCTGGATGGCAGCAGGTGGCTGGGCCTGGCTTTGCCCTGTTTTGCCACCCAGGCTGAGATGAATATTCATGAGCTGGAGAGACATTCCCACCTATGGTGCAGAGGGCTCTGGGCAGGGTCTTCCTGAGAAGCCAACGCTTTCAGCGCTCCCCTTGTGAACGTCCACCACACGTCCCCCCACTCGCTGGCTAGGAGGCAGCCCTGGCCCAGCTGCAGCAGGGCACGGGTCAGCCTGGGCCTTGGCGCGGTGGCTGTCCGGAGCTGGCCACACAGTGGGATTTCTCGCTAATTGGCTGCCTGGTGGAAGGCTGAGTGGGACAGGGGCTGTCGTGAGAGCCTGGCCACTGCGAAAGGAGTGACAGCTTGGCCAGCCTCAGCAGAGCTGTGCCTTCTAGCTCCCCAGCCACCCAAAGAGCAGGTGCCTACAAAGCAGCTCTCCAATTTCAGCAAACTTCCCAAAGACATTTAAAGGGAAACTGCAGCAACAGCTGCCCTGAGGCAGAGGAGGCACATGCAAATAATGCCTCACCTGTGCATTGCCGGGCATTTGGGGTAGATCTCCTCCCCTCTGCTTGTAGGGGCAATACCCAACAGAAGCTGCTATCCTGCTGACTCTTCCCTGAGGGGCTCCCAGCTCTTGGTAAAACTTGTAGCAAAATGCAATTATGGGACAAAAACACCTCCATGAACAGACAGATTGTCCTATGAAGACAGCTGGTAAAACCTGCTCAGTTACAACAGAAAGTCCCTGTATAAGCAACAAATACCAAGGAAGGAACAGACTGGTGATACTGGTCCAAGGCAGGGAGCGAAGCCCTGTTCAGAGGTGCCTTCTTAAGTCCAGGCAAATGAGCATGGGAATGAGAAACTATCTAATCCCTCCTGACCCAATTTATCCTTTTCAGCAGAAGACTATGAATGTTTCTCAGCAAACACAACTAAATGAAGAACTACCTGGGAACAGAGCTCCTCTTCGCCCATGGAGCACATTCCTTGTAGCAGGAAATGGTCAGATTTTTATCCTCTTTTGACAGCAGAAATGTGGAAGGTGTTTGCAGCAAACTGAGTTTCTTCACTTGGTGCTCTTTTTGGCAGCTATTTCTGGAGTCTCCCCTTTTGTTTTTGTTGATGTCTATTTTGCACTAGAAAACGCTTTAAACTTAGAGCCTGGATCAGTGATGTCCCTTCCATTTTGCAGGCTCCCAAAAACTTTTGGGTTCTCCAGTGCTGATTTTACCTCATTGCCATTGAATTCTAAGAGAGATTTCTAAACCCCTTGCAGAGCGTGACCTCCACTCTGTATTAGCAAAATCCAGGCGATTGCGTATAAATTCTTTCCAAAAGAAATTCAAGGCTACAATATTTTATAGACATTTTGAAAATATTTCAGATAGAAGAGCTAGAGATGCTCTGGGGGCTCCTGCCAGCACCTCCAACAAAGGCCAATGCACACTTGTTCTCACTGCAAAGTGTGGATGCCTTGCCCATTTCTAGGCAGAAGCAGTGCCCTTTAGTACTGTCAGAGACTGACAGGAAACAGAACAGAAATGTTGCAAATTCTGAAAAAATATCAACTCCCTGGGTTACCTGCTATCAGTGGCAAATCAGCCCTGAAGTATTTGGGTCTTTATTTCACTTGTTACTCATGATTTCTTCTTCCCTCTGCCAATTCCCATGGTGCCACTTCCACAATCCCTTTCCCTTCTCTCTCTGCACAGTCTGCAAAGTGTCTCAGTTCTCACTTTATCACCAAGGACTCAACCTTTCCCTTCACTCAGTCTCCAGCTGCCTAATTGTTTTTGTTGCTCTTCCTGGGACTCACATCTTTCTTTCCCATAAACTCTGGTAACACAGCCAGCCATGGCACTGTGTCAGCTGCAGGGGAAAGAAGCACATGGGCTATTGTGCTGCAAGAGAGTAGGCACATGCTCTAGGTTTATTATTGCTGTTAGTTGTAGTGGAGGCTTTTTGTATAACATTAGTACATGCTGAAACGTGCACAGGACCATGTCCTCCCAGTTTCACACTGCAGCTTTTTCCAACAACAAGGTTACTTACAAACCCCCACTCTGTGTACTTTGCTCTGTGACCTACATTTTTCCTCTCCTGTTCAATGTAGGGGCTTCAGATAATTTTCCATAAACCCGTGGTTTTGGTGCAGAAGTGTATGAATGGTAGGAGGAAAAGATGGAAAGTCTGAGGGTGACCCATGGTACATGCAGATAGCGAAGGAACAGCAGCTTTTTAAGTCATAAAGAAATGAGGGCTTCATGTGTTCATATTAGAGTACATGCAGTAATCATCACTTTTTCTACCTCTTAGCAAATTACTTACTGACAGGTGAAG